CATAAGCTTTCGTGGACTACAGCCCACTTCTTCGGATGCATATGCTCTAATAAATTTGTTAGTCTCTAAGGTGCCACAAGTCCTCCTGTTCTTCTTTTTGCGGATACAGACTAACACGGCTGCTACTCTGAAACTTTGTAAGTAATGTAATTGCCACACATTTTAGTCTGGTCTCTGTTTAACCTGCTGGAGCAATTTTGGATCTCGGGCATTGTTCACTTCATAGGGAGGGCTTTTCAAGCAATAGAAAATACTCCATTTCCCCATTAAAAAATAAAAATTAGTGCTGGTGAAAGGTTCTGGGTGGACAAGTCCAGGTAACAGAGTTCTCTGCCCATTGAAAATATCTAGTGTTGGCACTGGACAGCACCATTGCAATCTCCCTCCATGCTGTCCCACCAATGTGGTCTCAACACTGATCTTGGCCAACTTCTGGGGCAGGAGTGGAAGTCATTCTCCCTGCCCAGTCAAATCCTTGACCTCACTTCTGTCGCTGCCTACAAGGATGGCAAACAACAGCCATTATGACAATGGTGTTGCTGTTCTGGACACCATCCCACACTAACAATTGGAAAGAGACCAAAGACAGATGCCTTTTTGGAAGATATGCTTTAGTCAAACAAGTTATTGGGCTCAATGCAAAAGGTAATTGGATGAACTTCAGTGGCCTGTGTTATACAGAAGGTCAGACTAGATGATCTAATGGTTCCTTCTGGTCTTAAAATCTATTAACTAATTCATTTCATACAGGCCATCAAGCACAACTCAGAGGACAATGATTTTCAACCACTACCAACATGGCTTAGAAGAGATAAGACCTATTTACTACCTGCCAGTGAAGCATTGTTTACTAGAGTAATTGAATACCAACTCTTATTCACAGGAGCAGTTTGTAAGTAAAACCCTGGGTATGACAGGCAATATCCAATGGAGTACTGCATTACTGATCTCTTAAAAAAACATGATGGATGCCCTTGCAAAGATCTGGAAGAGCATTTCAGACAAGCACTCAAAAGGTGTGGTACTTATATAAACCGTCTGACCCTTCAAAATCTACAATACTGGGTCAGAAACACTCAGAAAAGCTCTAAGCATTTCAGCACTTCCACTTCTGGTGCTGTCTGGAATCAGAAAGAATAAAGATATGTTAAAAGTTGGGGGGAGGGAGCGGGAAGGCGAAACCAATCAACACAGAAATGTGAAGTTACAATACATGATCTGATCATCGGTCCAGCACTTTTGGTGTCTCGCCTTTGGCAGTAGCCAATAATACAAGATGCTTCACAGGAAGGCAAAACACTAACACCACATATAACCTAGCAATAGAATATTGATCATGGGGAAAGAATTCCTTCCTGATGCCAATGAACAGCTATTGCCACAAAGTTTGAGACTGACTTGCCCTTATACTACTGTCAAAAAAGTCAACTTGCATATTGGATCTGATCCTGGACTTCTTATTCAGCAAAACACCCACAGAAGCCAAAGGGGAATGTTGATGAATAAGGCACAGGCAAGGTCTATTCCTTTATCTGAGTGGGTTCACCCATTCACTGCATTTAGTCACTACATAAACTGCCCTGCTGCTACTATACATAAAGGGATTTATTTAGATTTATTGTGCCTATCAATCTTTAAGCTCTTACAACAGTTTCTAAAATTTTATACACTAAATCAAATATATCAAGACAGTTAGAATGATCTCACTCACAGACCCTTCCCAGCAAGGCAGCAAAATGAAACATTGACAATATGTCAAGAATATACTCTGCCCAGCTGTAGAACAAGAACTCCCCTCCAACATCCAGTCTAGATTAACCCCCATCAAATTCCCTGACTCTGGAGAACAGGAAGCTAGTGCAGCATGCTATGCTATGCTATGCTATGCCATGCCATGCCTAGGTGGTCAGTGAATCTGAGCTCTGGCAAACCAAGAAAGGAAGGGAATGTTAGAGTGAAGGGCATGGCACACAGAACACCCTGCCAAAAATACCCCTTCCTTTCAAACCCAGGGCTGTTAGCACAGTCTCCTCATGGTCACAGCTGCTGCAGTGTCAAATGGGAGAAAAGAGGCCATCTCTCCAATACCTAGAAACTGAATCACTTAAGATTTTATAGGCCAACAATGATCCCATCAAGTTCACATGGAAATCAACTGGCAACCAGAGCAGAAGTGCAATATGCTCTCTGGGTGAAACGGCACTTTATGAGTACTCCACCAAATTCTGCACTAGCTGCAATTTCAAGACGTTTTTAAGCTGCGAAGGACAGCAATTATCTAACCTGAAGGGGACAAAAATGGTGGTGAAAAAGGTATGGGATTATATAATTACACACTGTATCGTTATGTATATGTACAAGGGGCCAAATTAAGGGTGCACAGACTCTGTTACTATATGCACACATACATCACTTTCCATCTGAGAACCTCAATGTTCTGAAGAAGCATTTAATTTAGCCTCACGGTGTATATAGAGTATTATTTCCTTTTAACGATGAGGAAACTGAGGCACAGAGAAGTTAAAATGACTTGCCAAAGTTCAGTCTGTGGCACACCAAGCAAAGCTGGGATTAGAATTTAGACATTTCTGACCAGCCCTTCCTCTGCCATATTGCTGCCTGGGTACAATAATTGGATCAGAAACAGGGTGCTAAATTAAGAGAACTGCACAATATGGTGCACAATATTTTAAAGTAGTGTGATATCTTTCTTCTAAATCAGTTTTTTGTTTGTTTGGGAAATACCCTTTCTTACAGCAAACAGAGTCAAAGAATGTTGGTATTATAAACATAAAATTGTATTGTGCATGTATTAAAGAAAATTGAGCCTTTATTATGCATATTTTGTAAGCATTTAAGTTTCAGACTTTATTGTTCTTGGGGGGGAAATGTTGACAAAAGAATAAATAAGGACACAGTTCAGTGGGGGAGAAAATATCCCTCCAGCCTCCACAGGATGGGTGGGCAAGATTGAAAACTTTCACTTTGCAGTTAAGATGCAAAATCTGACTCTCTCTAAAATAGGGTTACCATATTTCAGCAAGCAAAAAAGAGGACGGGAGGAGCCCCGCCCCTGCCCCTCCCACTTCCCGCCCCCCCAGAACCCCCAACCCTCCCCCCGTTCCTTGTCCCCTGACTGCCCCCTCCTGGGACCCCTGCCCCTAACTGCCCCCCAGGACTCCACTCCCTATCTAAGCCTCCCTGCCTCTTGTCCCCTGACTGCCCCAACCCTTATCCACACCCC